GGACACTTGTATAGGTCGGGGATTTTAGTTGACCATATTGGGTGAACATGGTGGCATCCCTTTCTAGAAAGTAAACATAATTTGAGATTTCTTGATGAATGGGCAAGTTTTACATCCTGGGAAGCAGTCTTCGTGGCGGGGAAAGGGTTTTAGATGGGAGTCAGGACCTCCAGCGCGACCTCACCGCTGCCACTGCTGATGGTTTAGTCTTGAGCACATAACGTGACCTCTCTGCCCCACGGTTAATAAATCTGCAAGTCAACTGGATTTGATTAAGCAGTTTCCAGGGTTCCTCCAGCACCCCAAAGATTCCAAAGGTGCATGCCATTGTCTCCAGGACGGTTAGGCTGTTGCTGGTGAATCCAGCCTGTGTTCCAGGTTCTTGTCCCGTCCCAGAAAGAATTCAGAGACAAGACGTAGAGGTTGAAAAAAGTAAAGTGAGGATTTATTAAAGGATGGATAGTACACTCTCAAGGGGAGAGCGGGCAGGCTCAGGTGAGTGGTTGCCCTGAGTTTCTTTGGCAAGTTAGTTACATAGGGTGTAAAAATGAATGGGCGGAATATTCATTGAGAAGGGAAGGGCTTGGGGTCATATTTCCTGACTATCATCCCAACTCCATCTTCCCAAAGGGAGGAGGGATTTTTGTCCTTACTTAGTATGGATCAGAAGGGTCCTGGCGTCGGTGCATGATGGGTACTTCTGACCTGCAAGGCTAATTTTATTGAAATGAGGGCATAATGAGCAAAAGGTTACATTCAGACACTGGAAATTCCTGTCTTTTCTGACCTTTGTTGGTCTCCAGGCCAAAAGGTGTGGCCCCTTATCAGCTCAAAGATTCCTGCTTTTCTTTCTCTGCCCAGGGACCCCTGGTGCTTACATGATGTATGTTTTCCTGCATTTGGCTTGTGCCCTTCCTTTCTACCCAATTCCTGCCATTTGGCCTGTGTCCCCCTTTCTCTGCTCATATCTAGCTATCTGCCTGCTCTAACAAGGCCACGTCTGGAACTGGGTTTAGTTCTTTATTGAAAGGCTCCCTGCACCAGAGCGGCTGAGAGTGGCCTTTGGTGTGTGACAAACCTAACTTTGAATTGAATGCCAGCTCCACGACACCAATGATGTGACATTAAGGAGGTTCCCGAACCTTTCAAGTCTTGGTTTCCTTATCCACAAAATGGAGATGAAAATCGTGTCTGTCATGGAGTTGTTTTGAAGTTTAGTAAGATAATTCATTAGAAGACTTTGCTCAGGGACTAGCACATAGAAAGTAACCAGTATGCTGCTCTGATTGTTAACGGTAAATTCATGGAGAGCAGGCCTTCTGCCTTACCGATCTCAGTCTAGCTTACTTCTCTTTTAATTTCAATTGCTTAGTTCTGTGTTTTATCTATAGTAGTGTTTAATGAATGTACTATTAAAGTACAATTTTTTAAATTAAAAATTCTTATACAAATTTAGAATGCATACATGTCCAAAAATTAATTTAGCTTTTTAATAAAGGAACCAGCAAGATAATACAGCTTATTTACTGGAGAAAAAGAGGAAGACGATTATGTAGTTTATAATAACTTTTCTAAATTTGAAATAAAATTGGTTTATGCCTTTAAGGGTGAATAGAACCATAACCTTTAAAGTAATGCGATTTTCTGCATATTTCTGCCTCTACAGGATAGAAATCGTCCAGTTAACCTACATTTATAAAGTTCTTAGATAGGCCTGTGACACTGCTCTACAATGATTATGTGGGGATATGCAAGCTTTCTTTTTGCTATTTCCAAGTTTGGGGTAATTTTTCTAAATAGTTATAAGACGAAACCCAAACTATTATTTATCTTAAAAAAAAAGATTAAACAGGAATATGATTCTAGGATATAAGTATCTATTTTCTGCCTAAACTTACAATAAGTACTAGATCCATCCATAATTATGTTTTCATAATGTTTCATTAAGGGGAATATCGGGCTATTTAGGAAAACACTACTAATTTCTAAGATGATACTGGGGCGAGTAACCATGTAATGAGTACTTACATGGGCCACGCACCACACTGAGGGCTTTATACACATTTTAGTTTAATCTATAAACAATCTTGTGAGATAGGTATTATTATCTCCATTTTGAAAAATAGATAAATGAGTCTCAGTGAGGTTAAATAATTTAACCAAGGTCACAAAGCCAGTATGAGCCAGAATTGAAATGCAGGCTAAGCTTGAATCTTACGTTTTCTGCTGTAACCTTTGTATATACTTCCCTAAATTTTAAACCCTCTGACTTTTAAAGCAGCTCTCTAGTTAGACATACAGCTGAATGGGTCTGGTTTTGCTTATATGATAGAGCATGTGCAAAATAGTTCTTTTCCCTAGAAGAGAGCTGCCATTTTGAAACTGCTTGAGTTAAGGGGTCTTTGTGTTCCCTGGTCACTGGATTAAAACATGCATGTTTTAAAGAAAACTAAAACTATTCTATTTTGCTCCCTTTAAAGCCTCTTCTTCTCAGGTTGTCTTCTTTGTAACTTATCTGTCTGTCTCATATCTCTTCTGGCCCCCACAATGCCTGTAGGTGGGCTGGATCCTTTCCATTCTGGACGAGCTGCAGCTGAGCCCTCAGCCTCCCGTCGGGGTCCTTCCTCTGGGGACCGGCAACGACCTGGCTCGAACTCTCAACTGGGGAGGGGTAAGAGCTGCTCTCAGGGGCATGTCATCAAGAAACAGGGTTCCCCAAATCCTCAGGTGATTTAATGGAAGAGGAATATGCCACTGTTGTCCAAGAAAAAAGTTGAAGTTGAGAGTCAAGGTCCCTGTGAACCATGGTTTGATCTGGTAACTTCTTCAGTTTGAACTTATAGTCAGCTAGAGAAGAAGGGAAAGATTTAGGGGGAAAAAATGGGGGTTAGTACACAGGCCTGGGGCTTTTTGAGGTATCCACTAAAACTCAGAGGGTGGGTTGGCCTCAAATCCTCATGTTAAACAGTCACAGAGACTTGAATTGCTCCTGAGGCTCAGCCCTGGCCAGACTCTCGAAGGTGGTGCAGACTTAGAGTCCTTACTTCAGAAGAGTTATGGCTTTGTTTGAGCATTTGGTTTTCCTGGACAGTGTCGTCATGGTTTTGGCCGTGCAGGTAGCCAACTGTCCTTTTCACCATGGAGCCAACTTCAGGCAAACGTACTGAAGGGAGTTTACCTGCACTGCCAGTTGTTTCATCATCACCATCATTATTTCTACAGTATTATTACTGCTATTTTTACAGTACTAACAAAGTAAGAAGACACAATATGCTAACATTTGCTGTCATGCGAGCTTTTTATCTGCTCATAAGAGACCATTACCTGGGCTGTGCTCCATGAAAATTATCTTCAGATATTAGCAGATATTAACTTGGCTTTTGGATGAATTAACGTCCCATAGGTGACACTTATGTTCAGATATTAGCAGTTGTTTATTTTGGGTGAATTAGCCTCCCACAGGCCTTTTTTGTGTGTGTGTGTGAAGTGTATGTTGCGTAAATAAGAAATATGTTTATATAAAGCAGCTAATGTATTATCGTATGAATTCCTCTTATCCACATCAGTGACTCGCTTATCCTTAGTAATCACACTGTCTGTAACGTGTGCTCAAGGAGTAAGTAGCTCCCTACCAGGGCTGTTCCTCAGTCAGACTTGCCTGAGGTCACAGAAGGAATGGTGTTTCACTACAAAGTTAAGGAGAGGTGAGTGAAATGGAATGTCAAAGGAAGAAATTGTCTGTCAGATGCCACCTTGATTCTTTTCCCCCTTTTCCACACACACTTGTTCTTTGTATCCGTCAAATTTCTCTAGTGGGGGAGCCTGGGGAGACCTGTTTTCACTCTGATGAAAATAGCCATCCAGCTTGGCCCTCAGATGCCTACTGGCGACAACTGGTTCTCGGTCCTGGCTAAAGCAGTTCTTCAGCTCAGACCAGCTAGGGTTAGTATTTCTGTGCACATTACCTGTGACTCATGTCTTAAAAATCGAAGTACCTAGAGGAAAACAGTTTACTCTTCCAGCCTTGCTAATTGCAAAATAAACAGAGAGCCGTAGCAGAAGGGCTCTGCCTTGCACGAAGTCCCCTTGGCCATACTGTTCGCTACTCCCGATGGCAATGTGTGTGTTTTTTCTTTAATCCCTTAGGGCTACACTGATGAACCTGTTTCTAAGATCCTTTGCCAAGTAGAAGATGGGACAATTGTACAGCTAGATCGCTGGAACCTCCACGTGGAAAGAAACCCAGACTTGCCCCCAGAAGAACTTGAAGATGGCGTATGTAAGGTTAGAGAGCTCTTTCTTCAGCAGAAAGGAACCCTGGGATATCTGCCTGAGCGGCAGGAAATACATTCCTGGCTAGAGGGTCATGTGCTGATTCCTTCCTGTGAGGTAACAGGGTCGTGTTTGAGTTTATGGCTATTAGGACTATGAGTATGACACGACCCAAAGATCCTGCCCTTAGACTTCTAAAGACCAAGATTTCCTATCTGCTTCCACAGCACAGAGAGCTGTTCTGGGTCCTCAGCTTCCACACCAGAAAGATACATATTGATTTTCTAATCTTTCAAATTCATTGCAAACTCTTACCCTACGAGAAGATTAAGAAAAACCATATGGTCTGAAGAATCAGGCATGTGGTCTTTCAATAGAAAGATAACCTTCTGCGATTAATGGTCTGATATCAAATATCTCTGATGTTTAAGAAGCATGAACTAAGCCAGTTTCATCCCTCGGCTGGGATGCGAAAATGCCTGAATAATTATGTGACTTCGTGTTTTCCTCTAGTGATTAAACTTTTATTTAAACCTAGACAGACCAAGGGACAGAGTTGTACTGATGCTCGTGTGGAGCTTCCTAGGAGCATTTGGCTTTACGTGCTGGCCTCAGTTTCAGATAACTGCGATAGGTTGCAAAGCAGCTGCTTGCTTCATATTGCTTTCCACTTCTATGGCAGTGTTTTCAAACTTATGTTGCATAAGAATCTCCGGGGGTGCCTTCCGAAAACACAGATCACAAGGCTCCATCCCCAGGGATTCTGATTAAGTAGATGCAGGGTTAAGGTCCAACCATCTGTCCTTTAAACAACATCCCTGCTACGTTGGATTATGCCGTTGATGGAGGCCAAGATTTCCTAATTGTTTCAGCTTTAAAACCCAGTGTCATTTTATATCAAACGAATGCGCATTAATTTATTAGTACCATGATCCTGACCAATTCTGAAAGATGTTCAAGTTTCTTATTTGGCTAAAATTGGTTCAGACATGTTTTGTCTTATCACCAGGTTGTTTTTTTTTTAACCTAAACTTTAATTGAGAAATTGTAAGTTTTCTAGTAGATATCATGATTGCTCAATTGATCTTGAGTTCATAACATCACAGTGTTGTTCAAACAGGTATCATCTTGGGATGTAAGATGTCTTTCTGATGTTTTTGACTGACAGAAATGGAATAGAAAATAGCTAACGTACAAAGAACTGTACCATATGGAAATTTTAAGGTCCCGTCCCCACGAAACTTGGAATGCTTAGGCCCTCAACAGAAATCTATAATTCTCTTCCCAACAGCTTAAGGAATGGAAAAGACTTCTTGGTGGAACCAGGGAACATTAATCCAGATAATTAAAGGGCTTTGAAAATGGATTTTTGAGAGACATGTAGGAAATTGGGGCAATTTTTCCTGGAAAATATGAATAAGAACTTAATAACAGACTAGATTGTGACGTTATTTAGAGGATGGTGACCAGATGTTCCCCATAGCCCTCAGTGGCTGCTGGGACATGGGTTAGGACTGCAGCCAAAAGAACATAAATGGTAGAAATGAACGTATCTGTGCTTTTGGCAGGATCTCCCGCCCTTGCTGTCATTACTAAGGGCTGGTGTTCTGTTTAAGTGCGGGAACTGGACATTCTCAAATTTGCAGCCAGGAGAGTGAGACGTGGTTTTGGCATCGCTCTATGCGCTTAGCTGCCTATTCTCCGGTTAGTTGTCACCACTTCTAGGGGCAGATGTGGCCTCTGAATCATTACATGCTCTGACTCAGCCTTCCACGGAAGGGTTCATCCTTTATTCCCAGCAGACACCCAGGCAATCCGATTTCTTGCTCTCTCTGTTAATATCTCTCCCGCTCTCCCTCCGACTCTTCCTCTCATTTCATTTTTCTCTCAACGGGGCAAGAGCCTCACTCTAGTCCAGCAGAAAAATCTTACTGATCAAGGGGCATATGAAGCCCTGCAATGAACTTACTTTTGAAACCTGGAGGCTTAAACACTTATTTCTGATAGAAGAGAGGTGCATTTCTGTCTGGAGGGGAAACCTGATAATTATCTGGAAACATTATCCAGGCTGAGATCAGTTTACCTCTCTATTTTCTTTAGTGTTTGTCTTCCATTCTGAGTTGCAGAAGGAAAAGTGAAAGGGCCACCATTTGCCTTCTAGCATTTTCCATATGTTTTTCTAATTGTTCTAATGTTGCACCCAAGCCTGAAAATCCTGTTAATTTTGTAGTTTTAATGCAGGACTTTAGGCTACAGACTCTGTTCTTTCCTTTGCTCAGCTTGTAGCAGCAACAGCCCAAGACCTAGAGGACCCTGGGGAGGAAAGCTTAAGTTAGCGTGTGTCTGTGTCTGTGCCTGCGAATTTCACAGTCATATTAAAGACATAAGATTTGATAGACTAAATAGGAATCTTCATACTGAAAAATACACAGACACACATATGTTTATTTTTCTTTTTCTTCTGGGTTGAGAATAACTGACTTATTGCTTATGTGACTTTGGTAAAAAATTTATAGTTTTTGAAAATAAGTGAAGGGTAAACAAGTTAACTTACTCATTTTAAGTTGTAGTATTAATATACTGAACGTAAATTCTTGAAGAAAAGTGCATCCACTGATTAAGAAGTTTAGACACGATGCTTCGAATTGAATTTACTTTCTCTTTTCGCTTAGTGAATCACTCTGTGTAACTGTTAACAAAAGTGCATCCCTCAGCTTAAGTCAGTTCTCTTATTACAGCATCCGCAAGAATGGCTCTCATTTAATAATTTGTATTTGTTTTTCTATCCTTTGTTTCCTAAACTACTTAAAATTCTTGGGAGTATCATTTGAGTTGAGCTTTCACTGAAAAATTAATTCAAAAATCCCTTGTTCCTTCTACATAGACAGCCCTACCTTGAGTCATGTCTGATCTTTCTCCCAGGACTTGCCCCCGAGACAGGTGTCTGGCTTTAAGTTTTATTTTTCTCTTCTTGCCTGGTTATGCACAACTTTAGCTCTACCTTTGTTCATCATTGCAGCTTCCTCTGAATGTTTTCAATAATTACTTCAGCCTTGGATTTGATGCCCACGTCACATTGGAGTTCCATGAATCCAGAGGTGAGGACAACGTCCCATTTCCATCTCCCAGGGAGGAAGTTTCCAGCAGGTGTTTGCATGTTCCCTTTTGTTTGCACATCGCTTACGTGTTGACAGTGTGCTTCAGTGTTGTTTTATTTTAACCTTCATGGTGACCCTGGGAGCTGGCCAAGATGGGAACTTACTACAGGCAGTACCCTGAGACCTAGCTGTTCAGGGTCTCAGAGATGATGGAGGACAGGACCAGATGTTGTGCCAGGTGTTGGGACTGCTAATCTTTAGATCTGACTAGAAACTTGGAGGCCAGTGAACTCCTAAGAAGTGATAAAGAGAGAGTCTTTCGTTAAAGGCAGTAGGATACTCACAGCTTCTCAAACCACCAGTTTTTAAAGTTCATAACTTTATAACCAGAGCCATTGAAATCTGGTAGCAAAACATAAAAGTCCTTCCGTATGTGCGTGAGAGAGACAACAGGCACCTTAGAACAATGGAGGGACTGTGGGTGGTTTAGGTGGGAAGAAAAGGGCATGGTGTGATTGGACTAGGCGTGAAGGTGCTGGGACTCTCCCCTGCACGAGACGGTATGAATGAGCCTGGTGGTCGTTCCAAGTCCTAGAAGAGATGGAGTCAAGACTGGGGGAGCAAAACAATTTTTGAAAGAGAAATAAGATGAAATAATGACATGTGGGTTAGATATTTCATCAAAATTTTCTTATGCCATTCAGAGCTGAGAAAGTGTAGGGTTTTGGCTTATGCTTTGAAGCCTTGGTCTCCTGCTCTCTTGGTCTCTCCTCATCTCTCTCTCTCAACTCTCTTATTAATATAACTGTACTAGACATCTGTGAGTATGCCTGTAACTCGCCCCTTGTGGATGTGATAATATGTAACCAAAAGAACGCTTGGCTATAGGTTAGCAAGTAATTTGTGAGATAAAAGTCATAAAGCAGCGACTGTTGTACGTTCCCCCCGCCCCAGATTCTGCAGGAGCCTATGTGGTTTTAACTCACAGAATTTGAAATCGGAGTACAACTGTTCAGACTCCAGTAGTAATGCAAGAGAAAACTATGATTTTAAGAGTTAAGAGTGGAGCCATAAGATGAAGGCTGTTACAAGACAAAATGAAAGTGAAGTGTAAAACTGTAATTCTCTTATGGAATTCAGCAATTTTGGTAGACTTGGCATTCCTGGTTTTATGAGGATTTGAGGGTCAAATGCTGTGCCAAATAAAAGCAATATGATTGAAGAGAGAGTCATGGTTTTCCCTAATTAGCCAGAAAATCACATAGAAAGGTTGGTTGATAACAGAACCACAAATATCAAATACCCAAATCAGAAGCACCACCACATTCCCCACCCCCCTGCCCTGGACAGTTCTTGGAGGTGCGATATTCAGAGGGTCCTATACTTACAATCTGTTGCCCTTCCTGTGTTTAAGGAGAGTTAATTTGAGGAAGTAAACGGAGATTTCTTTCTCCATTTCTTACCCCAATTTTCCCCTCATATTCTCTAGGAGACTTTGGATCTGGCTTCCTAATAAAATAAATCTTTAGGTTACTTAACAATACTTATAAAGTAGTACAATTATCACTAATGCATGAATCTCCAAAATTAGACATCTTGGTCTGAAAGGAGGCCTGCATGAGTAAGGGGCCAACAATGAGCTCATTCATGGGAGCCCAGTGTTTCATTTAATTCATCTGAAAGTTGTCCTAAGGATGCATTTCCTCGTACTGTGGTGAAACTTCTATGCCTCATGGTGAGAGGGCAGCAGAGAGGGACATCCAGGTGAAAAGACCAGGTTTAGAAGAGAATTCTGGTGGGAAAGAGCTTTTTCCTTTCCTTTTAAACTATGAGACGATTTCATTTTAGAGAGGAATATGCAAATTATTGTGGTATATCTCTGTATCCATAGTTTTGCATCTGTGTGATTGTAAAATAGTGAAAAGATGCCAGGCACTCATCTTTGAATACTTTATTGCTGAGACTTAGTGTAAGGGCTTTCCTGCAATGGGAGAAGGAATTGCAAACATTTGCCCTGCAGGTAAGCCTGGGACCCTTGAAGAAAAACAGCTACTGAAGAGCTGACGAGGGAGGATTGATGTGGATGGAGAGTAATGAGTACCATGTTCATGGAGAGGGTATAGAGATGGTACACAATGAATATCCACAAAATATTGGGACCAGATTTGGTTGATATGCCTGTACTAGAGTTGTGAATTTCTCAGTATCTGTTAGTCAGTTCTTTTTGCAATAAGTGAAAAAAATTTATTATTTGATGAAAGTTATAATTATTCAAGCTAATTTAAAAAAAAACTATTTTCTGTTTATTTGGATTTTTCTCATATTTTTACCTGGATAGTCAAGAGCTCAGGTTCATCTGCAGAAAGAAAAAAAAGATAGCAAGTCTGCATTTTTAACAGAGGTAGACTTATTTATTCTTGTCAGTAGACAGTGAGTGACTTTTCTCAAGCCACACGTACCACATAGTGGAGACTTCAACCTGTTCTCAAATACAGCCACTCAGGGATTGCAACTTCATGGCAAAACTTGTATCAGTTGCCATTACATACTTGGAGAGTGACTCAAAGCCTCATCATGAGAGCCATTATAAAAAAAAATGAGCTTGCATAGAATAACCTATAAGGTATTATTGAAAAAAATACAGTACTTTAAATTGAGAATTATGCTAATCCGTTTACATGGAATGGGTAATAAATCTCACTAAGGCAGAATCTTGAAAAAATTAATTGCAGAAATACTTTTTGGCAAAATTTGGCAGCTGTGAAATAACCCATCAAATTGACATGGAACAAATGCAGACTTTTGCATTACTACTGATACTTTATTTCTTTTAGAGGGGACAAAGAAAATGACATTTATTTTGAGACAGCATATTAGTGGCTTTACCGTGTAAATACTTTTAGAATTACCAGTAGAAAATCAAGTAAGGAGTGAAGATAGTCTTAACAATTTGACTCTGAATATAAAGAATGCAAGCATTTGAATAATTTGAATAGAAAGAAGGTATACTTCATTTGATTGCAAAACAGACGCTTTTAAAATTTTTATCAAAGTGGCTGAGCCACGCATGGCTGAACTGTCTGTCGCTGCTTGCATATC